CAACGAGAAGAGGAACATGACAATATTCTTGCTTTATCAACAAATTAAAAATTACAGCAAGGTTTCAATCAACCTCAACAGACAAATCTTTTGACAATAAAATTTTAGGAAGACCAGGCTGAGCGTGAAAGGAATTGGAGGTGAGGTCATGCTCCCACTGATGGGACTCAGATGGGGCAAGGCTCGTGCCTGCTCTGCTGGGGGAGATGATCACAGGACCTGGTCCTCAGGAACTGGGACAGGGGATGACACGCCTTGGTCTTCCAGCTCTCTGAGCAAGAAAAAAGTCCTTTGGGAAGAAGTACCCTACATCGAGGGAATTCATATTTTAGAAGGCCTCCTGTAAACCCTCATGTAGTGTTCCAACCTCTTCTAATGAAAACTTTGCCAACGACGTAGGTTATTTATGAGTTTCTTTTCATAAAAAGATACCTCAAGGCTCTAAATCTTTTTGGGGGTTTTGTTTTGTTTTTAACAATCACTGGTTTTGGAAATCCATTTTTATGCCAAAACATTACACTGAAAATAAGGCATTTTAATGAAGTGCCCTCCTTAGTGACCTAAAGACAACACACCAAGCCAGCTTATATCACATTCACATTCAGATGCTGCTTAGTTGTCTAGAAAAATCTGTTTCACTACTTTAGGTGCAACATTGCTATTCAAGTAGTGGGATCTGGCATCAGAACTAGTTCCTTTTGAGTGTACAGATCATCAGAAACAACTGTGTACACAAAACAGAAGAAAAATCTGTCAGTACATTAAAAATCACACTATAAAGAGAGGCCTCAGGTAAAAAAGGAATGAGGAAGGGAGGAAGTAAAGAAAGGAAAGATAAAACTCTAAATCTATTTACTTCTCAACATTTAGAATTTAATGTAATGTGATCCATTACACTTCAGAGATTCAAGTATGTTAAGATCTTTCAGGGACATGTTTTGCCTCTTTAGTGCAAATACACTTATCCTTATGATTTTCAGTCATGGTCCATTCAAATCACAAGTACAAAACTCAACATTACTGAACAGTGTAAATTATAATAAGGGAGAGTTTGTTTTTCCTTTAAGATGGTAATCAACACACAACCAAGAACATTCCCTGAATCTATTACAAGATAAAAAATGAGGTTTGTTATTGCACATAAATGGAATTCTTTCATTCGTATGCTGAAGTATACTTTAAAAAAAAAAAAAAAAACACAAATCGACTTTCCTCTCCACATTTAATTTCATTTGGGTACACAACCAGTGTAAATTTCAGAAGTGATACTCTAATCAAATAGAATTCAAAACCAAATCAACTGGGGCGCCTGGGTGGCTCAGTCGGTTAAGCGTCCGACTTCGGCTCAGGTCATGATCTCACGGTCCGTGGGTTCGAGCCCCGCGTCGGGCTCTGTGCTGACAGCTCAGAGCCTGGAGCCTGTTTCAGATTCTGTGTCTCCCTCTTTCTCTGACCCTCCCCTGTTCATGCTCTCTCTCTCAAAAATAAACAAACATTAAAAAAAAAACAAACAAAAAAACAAATCAACTCACAGCATTTTTTGATGGTATGGGTTGTCTAATTTTCCAATCTATTTTTTATAAATGGAAAATCCTTGAAAGTTTTAATTTAGCTCTTACCACTCTTGTGAAATGAGGGCCTCTTTTGTGTTGCAATTATTCCACAGCCCTGTATTCATTTGGAAAGAGAGCAAATTCTAGTAATTAGGCTTATCCCTTATGTCTTATTTTAATAATGATTTTTATAAAAATGCTCTATTGATACCAAGTTATTGATGTAACAAAAGTTAATTAGCAACTTACAGGTGATTCATGAAATTAATACATTATTAATTATTATTTTCTGCAATGGCTATTTGAATTACTGGTTTACTGAATATCCTTACCTAACGATTATTTACAAAAGTAATTTTAAAAGTGTAATCAGTTATCTATTATTTTATAAGAAAGACATCAAAAGCTAATTGTCAGAAGTAATTCTTCAGGAAATTACTCTGCATTTACAGTATCTGAATTTAGCAGTAATGTTTTGCATAAGCTTCTCCCAAAAGAAGACTTTTGTTCGTACTCCAGTTTTTTACACAAGGTGGCTTAACAAATATTAACTTATTTCTCCAGCAATAAACTCTTTATTCTTCAGGGGTTAAATCATTACCTTATGAACTCAAATTTACCCAGTCAGGTAACGCCGTAAAATCCTGTAAGATAAATTCTGCTTAAAAAGTTGAACAGTCTAGATCACTTAAACAACCAAAAATCATTTGGAGAGTAACAAAAAGTCACAAAGGGAGCTATATTGTTTGTGAAGTATTACATATACTTCAATTACTATAATCATAACAATTTTAATAATAAAGGAAAGTAGTACATTCCCCTACATATTCCTATCAATCTATTTTAGGGCATTATAAGTTACAGAAGTGACTGCATAATTTCTTCTCTTTTTCTGCTTCTACTTCTCCTACAGCATCTGGGTTTCACGACAAAACCTGATGAGAAACAACATTATACTTAAGGAAAATATTTCAGGGTAAACCCAAAGATGAAAAATACAAAAATATTATTTTCACAGGACTTTTGATAAATTATTCTAAAAACTGTTTTGCTTTGGGGACTTATAAGCTTCTCTGTAATAATAAGAAGCTGAACCCCTCTCTGGGCTGATCATTTCTCCACCCAACACCTTCAAGTACCACTAGGAAAAATAGCACAGCTAACAACTTATTTTGTTTTGTTTTTAACTCCAGCATACAAACATCAACTGAATACCCTCACAATAGTTTTGTGAGGTAGATCAGTAGGTAAATAGCAAGTATCATCTTCATTTCACAAATGAAGAAATTGAGGCACTGAAAGGTTACATAATTTGCCCAAGGTATTCAATGGTCGATCATGAAACTACGAACAGTACTGAATTATCTCTGCTCCTGGCCCATAGCTCACTAACCACACTTTACAATGAAAGGTTGTGTGTGTTCTCAAATGGGCAGTCTAAATGATCTTTGACTTTTGAGACCTTTGAGAATAAAATCTATCCATTTGTAATTATTTTAAAGGGGGCCTAACCTCAAAGATCATAAAAATTGAAAAAAAATCAGATTAGGATGATATACTATTCCTTTCAGTATCTGCATAGAACTGTCTTTAAAAAATTTACATGGTAGGGGCGCCTGGGTGGCGCAGTCGGTTAAGCGTCCGACTTCAGCCAGGTCACGATCTCGCGGTCCGTGAGTTCGAGCCCTGCGTCGGGCTCTGGGCTGATGGCTCAGAGCCTGGAGCCCGTTTCCGATTCTGTGTCTCCCTCTCTCTCTGCCCCTCGCCCGTTCATGCTCTGTCTCTCTCTGTCCCAAAAATAAATAAACGTTGAAAAAAAAAAATTAAAAAAAAAAATTTACATGGTAATACTAACAGCAAAATAAAAAATTTAAAATTATGATTCAAGGGAGGATTACCTTCAAGAAACATATAATCATATTGTTAGGGTGACTATAGAATTCATTTTCAAACTGGGATATCTAAGAGTGAAAGTGAGCACAATTAACAATTACACAGAATTAACAGGTGTTAACCTGAGACTGTCGTGGGCAAGCTCAAGAACAGTCACCACTGGGTGAATCCATAGCAGGGGTCTCTGAATTGCAACCATTTCAGGGACATAAAAAACTCTCTGTAGCATGCTGCGCTCAACGGTACAGTATTCATTGTGCAATAAAACACTGATGACTTAAAATGCAATACGTAACTTTGGCTTAAACACAAAAGTTAATTTTTTTTTTTAAATAATAAGCATGTTTAACGAAGTTATTGCACATTTCCACTCTATAAACCACCATTTAGGGGCACCTGGGTGGCTCAGTCAGTTGTCCGACTGCAGCTCAGGTCATGATCTCATGGTTCCAGTGTTCCAGCCCTGCGTCAGGCTCTGTGCTGACAGCTCAGAGCCTGGAGCCTGCCTCAGATTGTGTGTCTCCCTCTCTCTCTGCCCCTCCCCTGCTCATGCTGTGTCTCTCTCACAAAAATAAATTTTAAAAAAATTTAAAAAGATTGAAATATGAACCACAATTTAGGTGTTAATAACTATTTTTTTTTACCTTTTAATAACCAAATGTTATTTTTCAAAAAGCATAAATAGGTACCTTTAAAAATTAGAGAATTTTTATGGGACTCTTTGGCTTTTAAAAAAAAACCACCTGCTATTTACCATTAATGCTTCAGATTTTCCTTGAGTGGAATGATCAACACGTAAGTCAATATGCTAAATGATAAAGGTGAACATTTCTCCCTGAAATGAAAATCTTTTACAAAGCAATACCTAAAGCGTAAAATAATTTCCAGTTTCTACCAAAGACTGAAAGAATAATACATCACCTGATTATAGTACACATGCTGAAGATACTAACACTGTCAGTTGAAGTATCATCTTAATTATACATGCAAAAACCCCAAAAATTTGCATATAGAGGTGAAAAAGAGCTTTCTACATTCAGTTATGTCTGGTAAGTAAGCCTTGTTTTAAGACATGGTTTTGAAAATACCATTATTATTTGTGGTCTCCATCTCTTTGGGAAATACAGGATTAACATATTCTTTAGAAACAGCAAAAATGTAAATCACAACAATAAAACGTATGATGTTATTTAGTCATGACTTATGGCTTTCCTGGACCTTTAAAACAACTTTCCTGAAAAAAATTAACCTGAAACAAACTGAACTACATATTCTCAACATATACTGATTTCTATCATGAACTGAATCCTTCCATTACACCTGTACTTCTAAGGCAGACACTTCAGGAATGGTAATAAATCCTATGAGAAAAGATGACACTCTATTCAATAGGCAATAAACTATGATTACTGAGATGTGATTAACTTTCAGTGCCATTTTTGTCCTGACACTTTTCATTAAGAGTACAGTGTAAATTCTAGGGCATACATATGTTCGTAAAGACTGAACTGATGTGTTGATCTTGGTTAGTTGTTCCATAAACTCTTTCAGACTTTAAACATCATCGAATATTCTGCTGTGAGACATCGAGAGGTATCGTCCACCAGGCTGATACCTGAAAGGTGGATAAAGAAATGATCTGAGGCATCAAAAATAACAAAGGAGGAGAGAAAAACAAGGACACATTAAAAGGAAGTGGCTACATAATTAGTAAGCATAATTTGTAAAATCTATTCAGTAGCTGAAAGCAGAAACTTACTCTCCAAAGATATTACCCCAAGGGATTTACTTAACTATAAATTAACCAACAGCTTTTTCTGGAGCCTAGAATACACATATGAGAGGGTGAGAGATGTAAACAGAAAGGGAATATATATATCATGGGATTGAAGATTTAATAATCACTCTTAATTGTTCAGTATAAATAAAACATTCTAGTGTTTTTCCTATTTGTAGGCAAAAATGTCTTCACGCGTATGATATTCATGCATATTTTCATGCATATGATATTTTGCTTTTGTTTAATCATTTTCACAGAGCATAGTGGCTAAAAGCACAGATTCTACAGCCAGAGTCCTGGGATTTGAACACCCAACTTTGCCACTTGCAAGCTGTGTGACTCTGGTTGAGTTACTAAGCCTCTCTGGATTCAAATCCAATTGGATTTACAATCATAAAATGCAGTATTATGGTTAATGTGCTCAGGATAGTGTCTGACACCCAGTCATAGCTATGTAGCTATTGCTAAATACGATAAATTTCACAGATTCTACCAATTTTAATTCTTTCTTGTTTATAATATCACTAGTAGTTTATGGAGATAGCAATTTCAACTACCATCACTGGATGCTATAATTTTTAAAATATAAAAGCATTAGAAGGTATAAAAAGGTACCAAAAGTTGATTAATATGGTTTTTATTAGCAGTAAAGAATATTTTCCTTATGCTTATCTCATCAAATTGTATCTTATTAAAATTTCAGAATACTGGAGCCAAAATGACACAGCTAAAGCTTACCTTCCTGGTTCAGATTCAAGAGGATCATCAGTGAATGTTTCTGCATTAAAATCCAAAGGTTCTACATCTTGGAGGAGCTCTATTCGGTCCCTTTCCGTCCTGTTATTAGCCCTGGTATATTTGGATGCTGCTGTAAAAAAAGAAAAAAATTATGTCTACTTTTCTATGGCCTTTATGGGTCACAGTCTACGGACTCCCCCAAAATAGTCAAGATTATAAAGGACGTGAATTTTGATTGTGAAGACAACAGTAAGGAAAGATAACTACTTGATTCCTTAAAAATCAAATTAAAATGATAAATAGTATGACAGAAAATAACAAGGAAAAGTTATCCCTTATAGCTAATCTAAGCTCAGAAGCAGGTACAATGCAAAGACTCAATTAAAATGAATCAAAATTAACATTTAACTATGGTATCAAAACAGTGAAACTGTTCATTATCAAGTTTCCATTGGTTTCACAGTGAATCCAGGCTTGCTGTATCTCAGTTTTTGACTAGAATTTTCTTTAAAGTGTATTCAACTTAAGCTCTTCAAGAAAGGCCTGAGTCTTTCTCCCATTAGATAAGAGTTTAGGGCAGCAATGTCCAACAGAAATAAAATGCAAGCCCCATATTTACCTTGAAATTTTCTAATAGCTACATTAAAAAAGTAAAGAGAAACAGATGAAATTAATTTTAATATGTTCAATTCAATACATCCAATATATTATCATTTTAACATGGGACGCCAGCCACATTGCAAATGCTCAACAGCCTCATGTGGCTAATGATTACCAGCTTGGTCAGCACAGATCTAGAGAACTAACTCTCCCTTCTCTATGTGGACGAGGCAGATTTTCTTCATAAACAACCTAAACTTTCACAATGTTTCGAGCAGTCCAATAGCTTCAAAAGAACTTTATGACATAGCTCTTTTTGAAAATTTAAAGTAAGCCAATTCTATCATATCTTACACTTTTGTCATCCTGGACTCTGCCCTTCATCTTTTCTCTCATTCCTTAGCACATATTGGTTGCCTCCCATATTCCAAGTTCTAAGTCATCATCCTAAAGCGCTGTATTTCCTCTTCTCTTGACCGTCCTCCCACACTCTCACATCTTTCCACTGCCCTACTCTGTGGTAAACAAGCTTCCAAATCTTTCTAGAATTCTCCCTCTATTACCTAGCTTTTTATTTTTTAATTTTTGAGAGAGAGAGAGAGAGAGAGAGAGAGAGAGAGAGAGAGAGACCACATGAGGGTAGAGGGGCAGGAGACAGAATCTCAAGCAGGCTCAGCTCGATACAATGACCACGAGATCATGACCTGAGCCGATATCAAGAGTCAGACATTCAACTTATTGAACTATCCAGGAACCCTCTATTTCCTAGCTTTAACTAAAACTTTAGCCCTCTATTTCTTCTTCTCTTTTCTGAAGTTTATTTATTTTGAGAGAGACAGCGTGAGTAGGGGAGGGGCAGAGAGAGAAGGAGAGAGAGAATTCCAAACAGGCTCCGTGCTGTCAGTGCAGAGCCCGATGTGGGGCTCATGAAAACTCGAGATTATGACCTAAGTAGAAACCAAGAGTTGGACCCTTAACCTACTGAGCCACCCATGCGCCCCTCCCATTTCTTCTACCCTAAATCTCATTCAAACACATCCTTTCTTCCTCATCTCCAAGGTCACTGCTTATTTTAGGCCCTCATCATGTCTTGATCGCATTACCAAAACAAATTAAACAGGTTTCTGTGTCTCACTTCTCTGGAAATCATGCTGTATATGGTGCTATCAAATTTATCTTCTAAACCAAAAATCTGAGCATGCTCCTTTCCTGATTGAAATCTTACCTTTGGGATAAAATCTAACCTTCTGGGCATGGTAATACCTGCTTCCCAACTATCTCTGTAGCCTCCCCTTATCAGGCTCCTCATACTTCAGGCTCTTGTCACAGAAACAAACTTGCATTATATTCCCCCAAAGATTCTCACAAGTCACTCATTTGCCCTTCTTCCTAAAGCACCTTAATCTGGCTAAGTACTGTTCATTCCCAAATACCCAGTGAATATTTCTTTATCACAGAAATCCTTTCGCAGTAAAGATCTCTTTTTCCATCCCCTGAGTTGAGTTCCCTCGGCATCAGGTGTGTACCCGTCTACTCTCTCAGCGTTTCTGCGTCTCCCCCAAAGACAAGCATCCTCTGCCATCTACTCAGGTCAGAGTCCTGGGCAAAAACAGGTTTCTTGCCACCTTCCCAGGGCAGATGGCAGGGTCGAGGATGTGAGGAGGTTTCCTATCTCAACCCACCGGCAAATGTCTTCTGCTTGGTATCAGTCCGTCACTAAATTAATTAGCAAACCCAAGGACAGGAAATTTATCTTCTCCATGTCACTGTGTATCTAGGAAAGTACGTGACATATATGGGTCAGTTAGGAAACTGTTATAAAATGACTGAACTGCCTACATCTACTAATAGAAAAGTAAAGAACAACATCGAGGTAAATAGTAGAAATCAGCATCTGCCTACAACATGCCTGGGTAAGTACTGACTACAACTCTTCATTCGCTCTCTCAATTTCTCCTTCTCCTCCCAGAATGCATATTTGGGTTTCCCTTCCTTCTATACACTGAGGGATGAGAAAGGAAAGAACTACAGAACCACATTTACAGTTCTATAAAGACATTTTTGAATGGATACCCTAATTCTCAGTCTCCATGCAAGCAAGCATAATAAAACAATTTCTAAGGGAACAGGAAAATAAACTACTTACATCGGTTGGTACTAATATCTGAGAGGTTTGATTCTTTCGGGTCAACATGAACATTTCTGTTTCTAGTGGAGTCTTCTCTATTGTGTCCATAACGTTCTTTCCATTCCTAGGACAGAAACACAAATAAATATATAACAAAAGAACTCACAGGCAGAAAATAATTCATCGGTATCAACAGATTACATATGCAGAGTAATAAAATTCAGTTATTCTCATCAGAAATTCACCAGATAATCAATATGATTAGCTTAGTGCCACTAAAATTTTCAAAAATAATTTTTCTTGTCACTACATGATTTTAATACAGTCTCCAAAGTTTTACAAATGAATATTTACAGACATATTTGCTAGCTATAATTAACCATTTCAATTCTTCTATCTAATGTCAAAACATTAACCTTTTCAATCCCTCTACAATGTCAAAACATTATAGCTACAGTAAGCTTACCTTGACCATATAAAAGTTATAAGAACTCATAATAATTCATGAGATGTTAACAAAATTTTCTCCCATATGAATAAACTACAACTACCAAAGACCTGAAAAGTCACTCTGGATAGCAAAATCAGAGTTGTGTACAAGATGATTAGATAACTGCAGTCAAACCGTATTAAGGGAGATACTACTCAATAAATTATTAGAACTGAAAGGAACATTAGAGGTCACCTAATTCAACTGCAGTGCAGTTTCATTCTAAAATAGCCATGCCATGGGCTCTCTTATTAGAGGACATGAAAATTTCTTTCTTTTAGAGAGAAAGTGCACATGCTCTTGCACAAGCGGGGGAGGAACAGAGGGAGAGAGAATCTTAATCTCATTCTCCAGTGCAGGACTCGACACAGGGGCTTGATCTCATGACTGTGAGATCATGACCTGAGCTGAAATCAAGAGTCAAGAGTCGGACGCATAACTGACTGAGCCACCCAGGGGCCTCAATGACATGAACATTTCTATGTGTGAGCGGCCCATCACAATTTTGAAAAACTGTGGAAGTTAGAAATTTTCATTGAGAGGTGAAATCTGTCTCCGGTAACTTCCCCTTTCTGTTCCTAATTATGTCTTCTGAAATAAACAAGTTTCCTTTCATACAACACACACTATGAAGACAACCATCAAGTCTCCTCCTTTGAGTCTTCACTTCTCCAGTATAGATAACACCAAGGTGTTGTAAATTTTGTGGTAACTGTGACTTAGATTTTTCTAATTTTATGCCCTTTCACTCTCTATGAGAAGATTAATTTGCCTCAGCAAACAGAAAACTGAAGAAAAATTGAAGAGGAACAAAATTAATGTCATATTACCAAAAAAGTATAACAACTTTAAAGCAATCAAAAGGACTTTAATAGCAAGACTGCATGAATTTATTAATTCATTCAATAAGTATTTCCTGGGAACCTTTAGGCAAGAAACTGCTAGACACTGGACATGAAATAATTTAATACTAATAACTTTTAAAACAGGTCTGACAAGACAGTTAGCATATACATCTCAAAGTATTAAAATTAACTTTTTAAAACAATGTGCCCTACTTCATTTTCCCACTGTTCTTTAGACTTTAGCCAATTCTAAATCAGTAAAATTCTCATGATACTTCACATTAGTCTTTAGGTCACGGCAAATTAAGTACTATACTTACTCTTCTTCGATTTTCACCTTCTTCTTGCCTTTGCCTTTTTCTCTTCTCTAGAGACAGAAAAGCGGTCTCAAATTTGGTATAACATGGTTTAATTAGACGTAGAGTAACTGAAGTAAAGGTATCAGGCTATGACCAATTTCCTTTAAATTACTACAAAGTCAAAAGTAATAGGTTATTGTTGGAAAGGACCTTAGAGGCCACCTAAGTCCACAGAGAATCCCTTCTGTATTTTTGTTGGAGATGACCTTTAGGCTTTGTCTGAACAGTTTTAGTGAGGAAAAAGTTCTTCTTCATTTGAAATTTGTTTGTAACTTCTCTTTTCTTTGCCTTATCTTCTAAATTAAGTTGATACTTCTTTCTGCATAAAAGTCCTTTCCTTTATTCTCTTCAGGCTATATACTCAGTGTTTTGTGTGTGCGTGTGTGTGTGTGTGTGTGTGTGTGTGTGTGTTATAAGATATGCTGTACATAATTCTGGCTGTCCTTTTCTAAATACCTTCTAACTTATTAGTCCTACTCTTGAAATCTTACCCAGGACTGAATATGATACTCCAGATGAAGTCTAATTAATGCAAAAAGCAGAACCATCACATCAACTAGACCCCACCTTCCTAGGAGAGAATGTGAAGGCTACAACAACTTCTATTGGAGCTACAACACATTTTGGCTTACACTTAACTAATGATCACATAAAAACTCCAGACACACATAGGGAGAATGTCTAGGAATCCATGTCCCAACACTCAAGTTCTGTTTTTTTTTTTCCTACCATCACTTAAACATCAGGAAATTTGATACATTCAGTGTTGGAATTAGATTCTAGTAGAATGCCACACATTCTAACAGGTTGTTAACAATTATCACATTCTAAAAACCAGCCTTGGCTTGAATGATTTCCTCTGTAGTATTAAACCGATGATTCTTTCATCTCATGAATTTTACAGTTGTACTGAACTTGGCAAATCTGTTTCCAGACAAACATGAAAATGACTCCAACACCATCCAAGAGCATTATTTAGCTGAAGACATACTAATGATTTCTGCTACAATATTTCTTAAAGTCAGATGAAACCATTTGTTTTCAAATTATTTTTGCTATGAAGCCTGTACATAGATTTTTAGTTAAAAATATTAATTTCTTAAGATAGAATAATAATGATAAATTATACAATTTGAATTTTTTATATTTTGAGTCTTAACACTTTCATTCATTTATTTTAAAAGACAAATCTTACCTCGTCTGATTAATTCTTTTCCTTCATCAACCAAGTCTGATGTCATGTCATTATCTCCCATGAACTGCTGGAAACCAAGCAGATTCAAACAACGCGTTCCCAAACTAATAAAAGATTTTAAAAAAGACAAGTATTATTTCTCATTGTAAATGTTTAGATAAACTGTTCTTTAACATCGTTGCCCCAAAGAAGCCTACATTTTATTGTTAGTTATCATGGCAAGTTACGTAATTTGTCTTTTTTTTTTTTTTTTAATGTTTATTCCTTTCTGAAAGAGAGAGAGACAGAGCACAAACAGGGGAGAGGCAGAGAGAGAGAGGGAGACACAGAATCCAAAGCAGGCTCCAGGCTCTGAGCTGTCAGCACAGTGCCCGACATGGGGCTTGAACCCACGAGCCACAAGATCATGATCTGAGCAGAAGTCAGACACTTAACTAACTGATTGAGCCACCCAGGTGCCCCAACATCTGTCTTTCTTGAAGAAGGACTTATTTCTCTAAGGAGCTTATATACCCAGTATTCCACTGACAGGGTATGTACCATACCCAGATTCCCTACAAAAACAAATTAAATTGGGCCATTAGAATACCTTCAGAAATCATACAGGGATAAAAAAAACAAAACAAAACAACAATGCAATCGCTATAACACAAATACAATTCATTCTTTTCTTATATTACAAAAATTTTTTTAACATTTATTCATTTTTTGAGACAGAGACAGAGTGTGAGTGGGGGAGGGGCAGAGAGAGAGGGAGACAGAATCCAAAGCAGGCTCCAAGTTCCGAGCTGTCAGCACAGAGCCTGACGGCGGGGCTCGAACTCACGGACCGTGAGATCATGACCTGAGCCAAAGTTGGACGCTTAAACGAATGAGCCACCCAGGTGCCCCTCTTTTCTTATATTCAAACAACAATTTTAGTGTTGAAAATACGCACAATCTGTATCTCCAAGTATAAAATATCCTGGTTTAGAACATCTTAACTATGCAAGTTGATATTCATGTTCATTTTTTTTAACCTGAGAGCTAGTCAATTCTATTTAAATAGCTTTTATTATAAACTCAGAATTGATTTCTATGTCTTACCTGGGGGCTATTATTTTATCTTATTTGGTATTTACTTTAAACCTCATTGCTGTGCAGGACAAGAGTACTCTGAAAATATGACACACAAGGAAAGAAGTAATGGATAGACAATCAGGATTAATACTTAGGATCCCATTATACATCAGCCAATTTACAGATACTCTCTTATTCACTGTAATTCTAAGAGATAGATATCATTTTACAGATAAGGAAACAGAGGTCCACAGGTTAAATACTTTGCTAATGATCACTGAATAAACTTTAGAGCTGGGATTTAAATCCAAGACAAAACAAAGACTAAGCTCTTTTTATTACCTTAGTTTTCAAACTTTTTTACTGATGTACTTCTACTGACAGAAGCCTGAACACACACATGGAGCAAGGAGGGAGAGAAAAAAAGAAGGAGGGAATAAGCGTGTGTGTGCACACAAGTGCATGCACTGGGAGGAGAGGAAAACAGTGGAGCAGTTACACGAAAGCGAAGGTCTTCCATTTTACATTACCAATGTGTAATACTCTGATGAATTCATAATGCCTGCTTGCTTTAATATATAAAGAATGTTTTATATAACTTAACACTGAGCAAAATTGGGGTGTTGGGTAGACGGTCATGCTAATTCTGTGACTTTAATTTTTTTTTTAATGTTTTTATTTATTTTGAGACAGAGAGAGACGGAGGATGAGCAGGGGAGGGGCAGAGAGAGAGGGAGACACAGAATGCGAAGCAGGCTCCAGGCTCAGAGCTGTCAGCACAGAGCCCAACATGGGGCTCGAACTCACTCACGGAGTGTGAGATCATGACCTGAGCTGAAGTTGGACGCTTAACTGACTGAGCCACCCAGGCGCCCTGCTAATTCTGTGACTTTAAATATTCCTTTACTATCTTCATAGCCTTGTAGGAGTATGACACCCTAGTATGAGAAGCCCCAAACTAGATCATGGTCTCTGAGAAGGTCATAGTTTTTCCTAAAGTATCAGGAAACAGCCTTATGTTCTCTAGGCAGTTAAGTCTGAATATGAACTCTGGGCATCGCTGTGTTGTTAGTAATACGGAAATTAGACTAATTATGGCAGCATTCCAAAGAAAACAGAACTAGGAAGAAAGTTACCATTAAAACGTCAGTAAGGCATTGCTTCATACGTTTCTATAATAGAATATCTATTTTGAAAGGTAATTTGAAAATTCAAGAAATCTGCCCTTTTCCTAAAAGACAAATTGTGACTTTGAACTAAAATAAAAACTCAACTTGTTAAAAAATAAAATAAAATAAAATAAAATAAAATAAAATAAAATAAAATAAAATAAAATAAAATAAAATAAAAAAATAAAAGACAAATTGTAAATCAAAGTTTATCCTAATTCTAAAACAATACCTTTAATGGATTATTTTCAATTTTAACAAATTTTCTTTTAGACATAATTCTTTATATTTAAGATTTTATAGTTGATAAACCATTAGTTATTCTACCCATCTATTACCTGATCCACATAACAATCTAATAAGGTAGGAAGAGATGCTAATCTTGCCAACAAAACTAACGTGTGAAAACATAATTCACACATCACAAGCTCTTAATGTTTCATTAATAGTTTTATAAACTTAAAACATTTTTTTAAATTTACTTTTATGTTTTTATTTTAGAGATAGAGTGTGAGTGGGGGAGTGGGGCAGAGGAAGAGAGAGAGAGAGAGAGAGAGAGAGAGAGAGAGAGAATCCTAAGCGGGCTCCACACAGTACAGAGCCCGACACAGAGCTCAATCCCATGGCCCTGGGATGATGACCTGAGCCATGATCAAGAACAGGATGCTCAACTGACTGAGCCACGCAGATGCCCCAGTTTTATAAACTTTTAAAATGAATAAACATATAATCAAAACTAAGTTTTGGACATGCAAAGTATAGTGTCTTCCTTTACTAGATCATTTTCACGGTATAAACAAAACTATTGTCTTTTTTACTTTACAGAAAAAAACTTGAAAATCAGACGTATTATTAGTTCATAACAGTTTATAAATAAAAGTTTTATTTGAAAATATAATCCTTTATTTTACCTATGAGAAGGCAAAATATAAATGTTTTAATTTTTTTTTAATTTTTATTTATTTTTGAGAGAGAGAAAGCGAGAGAGAGAGAGGGACAGCACGCGCGGGGTAGGGGCAGAGAGAGAGGCAGACACAGAATCAAAGCAGGCTCTAGGCTCCGAGCTGTCAGCAGAGAGCCTGACATGGGGCTCAAAGTCATGAACCGTGAGATCATGACCTAAGATGAGGTCGGACGCTTAACGGACTGAGCCACACAGGCGCACCTGCATTAAACAAAATTTAAATAAAAGCTTGAAATAAAAAATAATACCATTTATATTAGTCCTAGCGAACGCAGTTTAAGTAAAGGCTCAGGTCATGATCTCACGGTTCAAGGTTTGAGGTCTGCATCGGGCTCTGTGCTAACAGCTCAAAGCCTGGAGCCTGCTACAGATTCTGTGTCTCCCTCACTCTCTGCCCCTCCCCAGCTCGCGCTCTGTCTCAATCTCTCTCTCAAAAATAAAGAAAAATGTTTTAAAAAATTAAAACATTTATATTTTGCCTTCTCATAGGTAAAATAAGAGATTATATTTTCAAATAAAACTGTTAATATGAACTGCTAATACGTCTGATTTTCAAGTTTTTTTTCTATAAGGTAAAAAAGACAATAGGTTTGTTTATACTGTGAAAATGATGTAGTAAAGGAAGACACTATACAGAGACAGGGGAGCAGGAGATCCGAAGCGGGCTCTGCACTGACAGGCTGACAGCAGACAGCCCAATGCGGGGCTCCAACTCACAGACTGTAAGATCATGACCTGAGCACAGACGTTCAACCGACTGAGCCACTCAGGCACCCCATAAACGTTTTAAAACATCCAATAGAGAATTTATTTCAAACAATATTTGTTTATTTAACTTCTTAATGAGTACATATACATTATCTGTAATAACTATCTAATGGTATTGGAAGTTTTTTTTTATTTTATAATTTTTTTTTTAACGTTATTTATTTTTGAGAGGAGAGAGACAGAGCATGAGCGGGGAAGGAGAGAGAAAGAGGGAGACACAGAATATGCAACAGGCTCCAGGCTCTGAGCTGTCAGCACAGAGCCTGACGCCGGGCTCGAACTCACGGACCGCGAGATCATGACCTGAGCTGAAGTCAGATGCTCAACAGACTGAGCCACCCAGGCGCCCCTAATAGTATTGGAAGTTTTAAATGAAAAGTGGTTGGATAAAACATTTTCATCAGAAAAGCGAAGTGATTAACATCAATTTTTTTTTCTTAAAGTGGTATTTTTGGCTTGTCACAGAGCACTTAAGCAGTCAGCAGAAGAGCGCAGACACAGTACAGGATGAGGGTACCTGACGTGGAAGTAGGGGAGACAGGGTGCTAGAAGCCAAGTAGATCTGTCTTTACCTCCTTGTGAGTCACACCCTTGCCAAGAATCAAGCATCTTTCTAATCCTATAAAAAAAATACCCTGTGTCCTTTCCTGTCCAACCTCACATGTATGTACTGCCTAATTACAGTTGCTCCTCACCTGATGCTTTGTGCTGGCTAAGGTCTGAGGCATCTAGAAACCTGGCGATGATTGTGGGGAAAGCCTTAAGACTCATTTTTTTTCAAGTTTGTTTATTTATTTTGAGAGCGAGTACGTCTGAGAGCCAGGGAGAAGCAGAGAGACAGGGAGAGACAGAATCCCAAGCAGGCTCTGCACTGTTCTGACCATGAGATCAGACCTGAGCTGAAATCAAGAGTCAGTTGTTTAACTGACTGAGCTACCCAGGTGCCCCACCCTCAGATTCATTTATGTTACTGGATAAAAGATGGGCCTGGGGGGGTATTTTATGAGCTACGCTGGCTGTCAGCGCTGAAGGCCAGAACTTAAGAGTTAACATTCTATCCTATTATCTTGTAATCTAAAAACTTGTAAAAGAATAACTCTACTTCACTTTTCTTAAAAATCCCGTCAGAGGGAGAACCTGACTTGATCATTTAAGCAAAGCATTTAAGCTATCCCTCGCTCTCCCAAAGCCACAATAAAACAAACAACAACCAAAACCTAACAACTGAATATTTAAAAAGGCTTTAAGGAGAAAGGATATCCAGATTGAATAAGAGTGAGAGGAAAAATAATTGATGTTAAGTTTCTTACCTAAAGTAAGTAGCAATGCAGAGAATAACCACCAACATAGGATAATATATGTAGAATCCATCTGCAATAAAGGATAAAACTTTCATGGAACCCATAATCTAAAGAGGCAAAAAAAAAAAAAAAGTAAGTTAAATTAGTACAATTCTGTATTTTTCATTCCTTTCCATCATTAAAAAAATTCACTCATCACCAGTCTTATTAACAAATTTAGACTTTTCAAAAAGTAGAAATAAAGCACTAAATGGACTGATTTTAAGTTCTCATCACAAAAAAAACTTGTAACGATGTGAGGTGATGGGTGTTAACTTTTTGTGGCAATCATTTCAAAATATCTACACGTATCGAATCATTCTATTGTACACTTTACACTACATACAATGTTATATGTCACTAATATCGAATTTGCTTATTTATTAAGGTTTTCACATAAAGAAAATTAATATTTTATAAATATTACTAAAAATTATCATGTACATGAAGATTATAAATATGAAAGCTAATATTATAGATGAGGTCTATTGATATTGCTCATCTGGTCAACCTATGTGAACCAAAAAACTTTGTGTTTTTTTTACAATAAAAGAGAACAAAATCATTTTTACCCAGTCAGATACAACCTTTAAAATAAGTTCGATATTTTAAAAAATCCTAATAACACTATAGAACATTTCTGCTGGCATTAAAAGAAATTCCACAATAATACATCTTGTAGAGACAACAAATCTAAAAAAACTGTTTCCTGACCATACTTACAGATGTATAAGCAGTTGGCTGAGTATTCTGGTGAGAGATGGACGAATCCATATGGGTCAAACCCAAGAAATTAAGACATAGAGGAGGAGTCAAACGGCAAAATAACCTGCAATAAGCATATATAAACAGAATAAGAAAAAATATAGCAGCAAAGTACATTTTATTATGTTGTTATTTTCATCTATTTGTATTACATATATCTTGAATTCTTAATGCAAACTGCCCTTATTTGAGAGACATTCTGAATATTCTATTAATCACATCTCCCTAAAACATCAGGGCAAAACTCCAGCCTCAGGCTGCCTGCTTTGGTTGTGTCTGCCACTGTTTCATCCTAAGATTTGTGCAGTACCTGAAGAATTTTCGTACGCACTTTATTCAAATCTACCATCTGTGCAATCCGTGTCCACATGACCAGGACAGCAATATCCTCGAGGGGAACTGTACTCAGTACATAAAGGAGCTGAAGTTGTATTGAAGTAGGTCACTCTGACAAGTTCAGGTACAAAGAACTGTTAGAGCTCAGTTATGTCCAGATAAAAAGAGAACCTCACAGAACTATAGAGTTGGAGAACAGGTGGTAAGGAAAATGAAGGGAGGGTGTGAATACAAAGAGGAAATATGGGGAGTTATTTTGTGATGATGGAACAGTTCTGTATCTTGATTGTGGTGGTGGTTATGTGAATCTACACACACACACACACACACACACACACACACACATACACGCACATGAATGAAGGATAAAAAGTGGTAAGAACTAAATAAGGTCTGTAACCTAATTCAGAGTTATATATCAATGTACAATTCCTGGTTTGGATATTGTACAATAGCTATATAAAATTTCTCCATTTGGGGAAGCTGGGTGAAGGTTAGTTAGTAGGACCCTTTGTACTGTATTTGCAACTTCCTGTGACTCTATAATTATTTGAGGGAAAAAAGATATAAAGAAAAAAGTCTTAAAGATGCTTCAGATATGGATTTCTCTGGGAACCTGCCTAAGTGCAGCCTATTTTATAAATACCTAATATGACCAACTTACCAACAGGGACAAACAATAGCACAACCTAGCTATTACTAGCAATACTCTCTTAGCAAAGGATATTCCTGTTCATTTTAAGTCCTTCCCAATGCAGCTTGATGCCACTGAATCACCGAACACTCTAGGTCTGACTTAGCCTCTAAACTCTCAAATGGTCCTAGTATTTACCAACCTATTTATTGAATCTCTAACTTGTAAGTCCAGGTTGTCTTTCTTTTCGTTCCTAACCTAGTAAACCTCTTGTATTATAACCTTAAACTTCAAGCAGGATTTAGCTAGCAGTCAGCAAACATCTAATGCTTAAACGTAATCAATGAGCTCACATAAATGCAGGTGTTAGTGGAATGCTCAGAAACAATAAGAAAGAAAAGGGACATCCATAGACTACATGCAGTGGGGTCGCTCCCTTGTGTCTAAACACACTCCTACTTACATGCCACTGAAGAGAAGGCTGTAAGCATCAGTCTGGTGATGTGAAGCCAAGTAATAATAGTTAAAGACACGAATCCTGAACACAGTAGAATAAACACAGATACTCAGAAAGAAGATACTCAGGAAACAAGCAATCTGAAAAATGAAAACAAACAAAATCAGTTTAAGACTAACAGACTTAAGACTAACGGACCTTGGCACTTAATACACTCTCACAAGCATTATCCTTTATCTCCAGCTAACATTTATTGACATTCTAAAAATTTTAGAACACAGTTCAGGTTTTAAACACCTGTAACTGGTTTAAACACAGTAACAGGGTTTTTTTTAACCACCTAAGAAAATGAATTTATGAAAAAAATCTACGTCTTAACCAGTTCAATATCCTGTCCATAAGTTTCAAATCCACCTCCTGAAGTGAGCCCGTTCTCCTGTGCCCTTGGCTACCCTTCCCGCGAAGACTGTACATTATGCAGCTTCACTGGCATCAACAGGATCAAAGTATTCTCATAAAAGAAGTCTGCACTATTTTGCACCTTGTCATCCCTCCTCAAACACAGTTTTTAGTTTTTATGGTCTGATAAATGGATGAAGCTCATTTCTGAAAGTCTGAATAACACTATGGGCAACTTCACTGCTTTCATTATTATTAGATTATATAAAGAAAAAACACAGTTGATGACTAGACTATGAACTGACATATGTTTATGACAGATGTAAAATAAACCGACCTCTATATAAATATAATTGTATGTTTTCTCAGCCAGCTGTATGAAGACTGCGAAGAGGGATAAGACAGGTGTAGTGCTAAAGAATGTGCATTCTGACCACACAACAATCACAGAGAAGATGGACAAAACCACAGCAAGTATCCTATAAAACCACGGTCTCAAAAGACATTCCCAGTACCATTCTGGAAGATAAAAGAAAAAAATGATTAGGAAAAATCATAAAAGAATAAGATATTTATATTGTTTCAAAATATCTCCATACAGGATCCATAACTGCAAAGAAGAAAACAGTAATATCACAGTAGAGGAACCAGGCAGGTACCATGTTCACCAAATAATCACCAATAACAGGATAAACTGACATCATGTGCCTCCTGCTATGAAGCACTAAGAACACAATGTCATTGCTGCAGTATTCCCACCAAAAATGCAAAACCTGCATCCAACATGAGAAAATACCAGACTCAAATCCAGGGACACCTAATAAAAAACTGGCCTATAATCTCCGAAAACACCAATGTCAGAAGACACAAATAGAGACTGAGAAATTATTCCAGATGAATGGAAACTAGGGAGACGGGACACCTGAATACAATGCATGATCTGGGATTTTTTTTTTTTTTTACAAAGAATATTTTAGAACAATTCGCAAAATCTGTGTAAGGTGTACAGAAACAACTCTGTATCAAAGTTCACTTCCTGATCTGGTCACTGTATTTGGTTAGTAAGAAAATGTCTTTATTTTTAGAAAACAGACACTGAAACATTTAGGAGCAAAGAGGCATCATGTCTGGAATAAAACTTTGAAAAGATTAAGGAAAAATACATATACAGAGAGAAAGATAAAGTAAATGAATCTGAGTGAAGTATATACAAAAATTCTTTGTACTATTCTGCTAACTTTTGGTTAAGTCTGACATTTTTTAACAATAACAACAAAAAAGATAGCTCACCGAATTGAAAAGGCTACGTTTTCACTTCATTCACTGAAGCGCTGAGCGAGCTCTTAGCTCAGACTCTAAATCTTTCAACCCTACTCTCAGCACAATTCCTGATGAATTCAATGTCCACACCAGTGATCCTTTTTTCAATATCCTAGGGTCTTTCACTTCCTTGACCTCCTTTCCTCCAGTGATCTCATCCTCCACCCCACCTCAACTACTCATTCTCAGTCATCCCTAAACCTCTTACTGCCCTTCCTTCCTTATAATCTCATTAAAGCATCCCTGTTTCCAAGCAATACCTTCACCTAATATCCAATTCCACTGACTGACTCTATCTGGACCAAGCATCCATTCATTGTACCACCTTTATATTGCCACTTAATACCCTGGTATCCTGCTGCTTCCTTTATCAGCTCAGATTCCGTAGTCTTTGAGGATAATTATGCTCCAGCATCCCCATTTCTTTTCTCTCTTGCTTCCCTGTACTTGCTAAGCAAGACCACACCCTGGTTAGGATCCAACTCCCTGGCCACTCTGAGCCTGCACCCATGGAGCTGTACCCTTCAGGAGTGAGGCACCCAACTTTGCTGACTGGTCTCATTCCAAATTCCTAATCACCAACTTCAGGTGGATCCTGAGCACTGCCTGGCTGGCCTCCTATAATTCAATCTTCTCCCATGCCTTCACTCCTAAGCAACTATTTTGCACCTTCTCTCTTCAGATCTCCCAAATCTCTTACCCTATGCTTCACTCTCAGCATTTCACCGAGAAACTGGCAGAAGGGAACCTCCCCAAGTTCCTGCCACTACCTCTTCTCACCTGCTTAGGTACACCCGTGCCTTACCTCCTAATCTAAGGGCAATCTCTACATTGTTCACTATTTCCCATTTCATCTCTGCTACTCACGAACATCACCCCAGCCATGCTCTTCGCTCATTACATTTCCTCTAAGATATGGTTCCCAAATTACATGCTATAATTTATCTTGACCTTGCCATTCTCCTTCAGCTACTACCTCTTTTCTCTACTCCATTTTATAAGGAAAACTTTTGAGAGTTTTGTATTCTCCTTGCCTCTAATTGCTCTCCTCCAGATTTCTTTTAAATTCAACTGGGCTTTTGTTTGTCTGTTTGTTTGTTTTTTACCTTTTTCTCTTTTCCACCCCCACCTCACTTCTCTGAAGTCAACCTATTGGGAAATGTACTTTACACACACCTTTCCTCAAAACACCTCACTATCCTGCTTTTCTTCCCTCCTCACTGGGTTCCTCCATTAACCTGATGTCTACATTCTGGTATCTTCTTTATACCTTTCTGTGTACATAGTCTACTTTCTCACTCCGTAAAGCCAGGAATTTTTGTCATTACACTTATTGATATATACCCGACACCCAACAACATACAGCATATATGTCTCAAGTATTTGTTGAATGAATGAAAACAAGTATTTCTTTCATTTAATTAGAAAAGATCTTTGTTGAAGTAGTTTTCTAACATATGTTATGGCCATTATGTCTTCATACTCAAGACCAAACACGGCAAAAAGAATCAAATGAACATAACTGTTTATGTAAACAAATAAGCTAAATGGAAGCTTTAATACTGTGACACTTGCCATATTTTCATTAAGTTCTTCGTATTAAATTTGATAACATTGAGAGAGTATCATAAATAATCATTAAAGAGAATGAAATAATTCTGACTACTTATGTAGGTTTTATAAATAGACTAACAGATGTAAATAATCAAAGAGGACTTCTTAGGGGAATATTTTAGTAGTATGTCAAGACTAAAGAAGAGACCCAAGCTTGTGATATAAAACTGCTTAAAGTTCTAATTATTTTAAGTATATATTATGAATATATAATATACTTGATGTATTGCATATATTTTTGCATAGCATTTTGGTTATCTGTGAAGTAACAGTGGAAACTGATAGATTAGATGTTGTATGACAAGTAAAACAGTTTTGGAGGGGGAAGTTTATCAGACACATAATAAATATTACCACATGGTATATGTCAAATAATACAAATACAATTCAACTCTGCACTGGGGAAAATATATACTTTCTTTCTCTAGAAAAATTATCATCATTGAATTCTGAAATTTATGTAAAAGTACATACCAACTGTAGGATTATAAAAATATTGGAGAAATTTATTTTCTGGCTCTGGTGACTGAAAGGTGTGAACAAACTGACGAGTAGCACTAGTTTCATTTTTTGCTACATCTTCGAGATAAAATGCTTGTTCCAAAAGAATCTGCCATTGTACTTGAGTTCGACGGTGTCTCTGAACTGAATAAATCACCTAAAAAAGAGAATTTGGGTATATCTGTCAATGTTCTGATCCATTTCTATACATCCCTCCAGAGAGCATGTTTTGATTGTCATAATAATGGGGAAGTGTTAATGGCACGTGGCATTTACTGATTGGGGCCAAGAATGTTAATATTCTAGGACATATTTAACAATTAGGCTCAGTGAGTAATTTTCCCTCCCCAAATGCCAACAGTACCCCTGTTGAGAAACACAAAGTTAAAACACCTCAAAGAATGATACAAGGATCAAAGAAAGCTTCAAATACACATTTACTCGAAAATCGCTTTTTGTGGGCAGCAATTATAAATCTAATTAAAATCATCAGTAAGTAAAAAAGCTATTATTAATAAAGTCACCTGTTTATGTAGTTTTACCAGACTTTTTTCACTTGGGTAGGTATTATGCTTTTCATCAAAATCTTCATAATCATCCATGTTCCTACCCATTTTTTCCTGATACTCTGTAGGACACTAAAAGGGAAAAGTAGGTATTTTTAAACATTTTTTTTTTTTCAACGTTTATTTATTTTTGGGACAGAGAGAGACAGAGCATGAACGGGGGAGGGGCAGAGAGAGAGGGAGACACAGAATCGGAAACAGGCTCCAGGCTCTGAGCCATCAGCCCAGAGCCTGACTCGGGGCTCGAACTCACGGACCGCGAGATCGTGACCTGGCTGAAGTCGGACGCTTAACCGACTGCGCCACCCAGGCGCCCCAATATTTTTAAATCTCATGTGCAAAAAAGTAAAATTATATTTTTATTTAAAAATTTGCCACTCTTGGGCATATCTAATTTTCTCAAAAACATCTTCCTTTACTGGCATCTCTAGATGTTTGGATTGTTAGTGACTGACATTTCCTTGAAAATGTTCTAGAAGATGTATTAAGTGTCTTCTTACCTTGAGAGCTTACCTACATGAAGCAACTAGTATTTGAGAGGATTAGGCTATGCAGGCAACCTGACGGAACTGTCAATTATTTTCCTAGCTAAAAACAAAAAAGAATCGCAACAAACCCAAGACGTTGAATTTTTAAAAGGCCTTGTAGAGAAAAACAAACACGTAATTTGGAGCCATCTGCCCTATTATTTATTTATTACCTATCTGAATTTGGGCAAGTTACTTAACCTCCCTGAATAGGTCTCAAAAGGTAGCAATATAAAGAGAAAAGATTAGAGAACTGATTCTCATTACCATCAACTTAGCCAAAGGGAACACTAGCTAATAATCAGTATAATAGATTTAAAATATAGAAAAAGAAATAGTTCAGTGGTTCTGTGGTTGCAAAGACAATTATTGAGAAGTCCATTTTTAGAATAATCATTTTGGAAGTATATGAATACCCTAATTCAATACCAATGCATCAAAACCTTAATTTTATAGCTCCTTGTTAAATATCTGTGTTAAATATCTCATAGGGTCATTCATTTTACAATTTATTTCATATATCATGAAATGACATGGTAGAAGCAATTGAAAGAGATTATTAAGGCTCTAGTTTATTACGGGAGGTGCACCTTTAGTGACCACATTCAATGACACTTAGAAACTGTGAAGGTCCATCTCCATCGCTGTGTCAGCAATCATTATCTATTACTTAACCTCTACATCCACATTTCAATGACAAATACTGCCAATAATTAAATGTCACACTTGTATTAACAAAAGAACAAATTCTAAGCATGGATTACTACTGATTTATGGTTAATATTTCCATGAAAATGGAAAGGAGATGGGAAGACCACAGTCACAGGCTGTTCTCACACTTTTCTGATGCTTTTATTATAATGTTACAGTCTACAAATTTGTATTTCAAAAGAAAAAAGATGAGAATATGACAAATTACCTTTTTAAGTATCGTGTCAACGCATTTTCTCAATGGGTGGTTATACTTGATGCTTTCATTCACTTTACGAACCTCCTATAAAAAAAGTAAGAAGAATACAAATATTTCCATTTCTATACATCGTACATTTCAAATGAGACTGCCCTAGGTACTGTATGTGTTCTCATAAGTTTAATTTCAACCCAAGTTACTTAGCATATACATGAAGTTCTGTTCACCAAATAGAAGTTCTTAAGAACATAAGTAAAAATACAAAGTTATAGAATAGCAATATCTATACCCTCGTGATTTTTACTAATTTTTAAGATTTACTCTCTTATCACTTGCCTCTTGGTACACAAAGGTGAATGAGCATTATAAAAAGGTCATGAAAGATCAGACAAACTTTGCAATGCTGTGTTCTTCCACCTTGCTCAGCAAGCTCAGTTATCTCATTATCTAAAGTACAGTGAAGAAACCAGAGGAAGAAGCAACAGGCAACAAGCGTCACAAAGCACCGGCTCCTTTCCAATGAGAGAGTTCCCTACAGCAGTCACAACTACTGACTCATTCCACATTCGTTATAAAAAGCACACTCTATGCCAGCACTGTGTTAAGCATAAGGTCACCACGATCCATGCTGAAGGGTGTGGTAGGGAGACATGATGTTACAGGTCTTTAAAGATGACAGGCTGGTGATGAGCTAATTTAATAACCAATTTAGTGAATATGAAAAGTATAAAGGGGTTAGTTAGGAAGGGTAATCTGTACAACCAGCAGATCCCAAAGAAGAACAATAATTTCTATACTAATGAAACTTTTAAAAAGTTGGAACCACTGCTCTAGGCAGAAGAAATGGCACGTTCAAAGGCTGGGAGGCAAGAGAACTGACCAGGACAATAAAAAGAATATTCTGATTGGAGAGTAGAGAATGGCCCCAAGGAATACAAAACTAGAGGCAAGGAAACCACCTGGCATACAAAGTTATGAAAATATATTTATATCTTATATGACAAAAAAAATCATTTTCCCTAATATATATGTGCTATCATAAATCAAGAGAAAATTGGGAAGACACAAAAGCAATACAATTGGCCTATATACGTCTGGAAAGATAGTCAAGCTCACTAAAAACAATTACAAATTTTAAAAATGAGAACAGTTTTTGGAAAGTAATTTAGCAATAACCATCAAAACTTACAATATGCAGACTTTAGGAATAACCTGTACCAATAGACATTGCTCCTGTCAGCAGCTCAGCTTACTGAGGAAAACAGGTATTATTCAAATAGAAATGGTATGGAAACTGCTGTGTAATCTAGTGTGAGAGGCTTTCTGATAAACTGATTGTTCAAGCTGAGATAAAAGCCTGAGTAGGAGTAAGGTCAGCAAACCAAAGGAAGGGGCGAGAATACTCCAAACAGCAGAACAGCCAGTATAAAGGCCTCCACGCAGAAGTGTGTAAGGAGTTTCAAGGAACTGAAAGTAGTACATGTGATCGCAGGGAAAAGGACAGTCAGCGGCTGCCTGAGCAGCACTTCATCAGGCTAAAGAAAAGCAAAGCACTCCAGAAGGCCTTTATAACGGTTTGTTTGAGGTCAACAAGTGACCTAAATATAGCAGGGACAAGAGAAGACTTGGGTTTTTAAAAGATGCTTGAATCATCATTACATTACAATTTTCTATTCCTAAACTGCCTTAAAGATTTGTTGACTTGTTAGCACAACTTTGAATATGAACCATACTGATTATGTGTTATATGTAAAATATTGTATTCTTCCTTTAAATTCTTCAGCCATGTGACACAAAAATATGTACTGAAACAAGTTAACTACTGATATTTGCTATATCTGTTATAAATCTAAGGCTCCTTCAAAAGTTTGTAACTTTTGGGGCACCAGGGTGGCTCAGTTAAGCATCCAACTCTTGACTTTGGCTTAGGTCATGATCTCATGGTTTTGAAATCAAGCCCTGTGTGAGATTCTTTCTCTCCCTCTCCCTCTGCCCCTCCCTTGCTTGCACGTGTGTGCTCTCTCTCAAAAAAATAAAATAAAATAAAATAACAATAAAATAACAAAGACGGCACCAATGCCAGTCCTAGTTTTCCACATCCTATTCCTCAGTAGAGAGTTCCTACTTAACAAACAACAACAACAAAATCTATCTTTCTTCAGTCATTGACAATTCCTCCTAGCAAAATCCAGATCTTGCATAATTAACTGGATTTATATTTCTTTTTTTTTTTTTTAATTTTTTTTCAACGTTTATTTATTTTTGGGACAGAGAGAGACAGAGCATGAACGAGCGAGGGGCAGAGAGAGAGGGAGACACAGAATTGGAAACAGGCTCCAGGCTCTGAGCCATCAGCCCAGAGCCCGACGCGGGGCTCGAACTCACGGACCGCGAGATCGTGACCTGGCTGAAGTCGGATGCTTAACCGACTGCGCCACCCAGGCGCCCCGGATTTATATTTCTTGAAGGAATATTGAATAACTGGTAAAATCCATATTCCTCAAATCTGAAACAACTGAATTAGTACCAACTTTAAAGGATAACAGTATCAAATTTAAATTATCTTTTAAAAATTATTTTCTTACTAAATACAAATTTTCAAGTTTTTTTCCAAACATCTGAATTTTCAAATATAAACTTCCAAATATATCATAAATAAATACAAAAATTATCAAACATACATTATCTTCTTTTGAAACATGTAATAACAGCCAGCAGATGCCTGAGGAAATGTAACAGAATACTATCTGTGAATTTACTCCTACATTTTCAATCAATATATTCTACTGCAGTTCTTACTTTTTGTAGGGAATACATGCCAAAAAGCCAGTATTAGATTTTTCAATCACAACACTTTTAAGAGTAAAAGAAGGGCTCTGTAAGGTTACCCCAAGATGACAAGCATACCCTGCACTGTTGAATAATTGTTGCTGAATCCGTGGGTTAGAAGGTGGAGATGATACCTCATGAAGCTGGAACGGCCAACAGGAAGCCATCCTACTGGATGGGACATACTGAAGGATCGCACATCACCAACTTTTCCGTGTGAAACCCATTAACATGCAAACAACAACAGCAACAAACCAATAGTGACTGACTGTTAGTTTAAACTTGCTTATTACCTCCATGACATCTTCTAAAGTCTCTTCTGCATCTGCTTTTTCTGTCATCAGTTTGGCTGCCTTAAAATATGTCTTCATAAGTAGATAACCTCTTTTTGCTCCATTCCAGTACGACCGAGGAATTTCTACCAAACCATATCCCAATAACAACACGAGGAGAAACAGGCCCCATGTATTTGCTGCAGCTATTCCAATTGTCTGAAGCTGGTTCCTGAGAAAGAGAAAACAGAAGCAGAGCTGTGAGAAAGAAATTTTTCCAACAATTTTATATATATATTTTTTCCAAAAATATAAAATAAAACTAACTAGCGTTAAATGGTTTTTCAGGAAACAGCCCTACAAGATGGCTAGGATTTTACATGAAAAAAAGTATACCTTCCAATCCTCAGCTACTTTTTTAGCAACAGCAGATAATCTGTGCGTTTTAAAAGGAAGTTAGAGCTTAACTGCAGAAATAGACTTTAACACAGGAAACACTGCTTCTATCATAGTTAAAATTAGAATCTAGGATAGTTCATGGTGAAAACTATATATATTTTTTCCCCCAAAAAAGATATTTTTCATTAGGTGCTTTCTTACTCAGAATTAACCAAGAGAAGCCTGAAAAAAATTTTAAAGTCTAAAAAATTTTATGTTGAGCCACACCTACACAAATCTCAGGAATGCAACAGTGAGAATTATCATTACTACTCTATTCCTAAATTTTTGAGATGTCTTCACATAACATTATATACATCACAAGTATAATACAGATTTCAATTTTATTATAATGTCTGAATCTAACATCAAAGAGAAATATGCTCTCAAGGTATAGTCAGAACAAAAGAAAAAATATTCAACAAGCTCCAAAGAAAAAGAAACCTAAGGGGCACCTGGGTGGCTCAATCAGTTAAGCATCTGATTTCGGCCCAGTCATGATCTCACGGTGCATGAGTTTGAGCCCCACATCAGGTCATGATCTCATGGTTCATGAGTTGGAGCCTCACATCAGGCTGTCTGCTGTTAGCACAGAGCCCACTTAGGATCCTGTCTCCCTCTCCCTCTCCCCTTCCCCTGCACATGCACTCTTGCTCTCTCTCAAAAATAAACATTAAAAAAAAAAAAAACAACTAGTTATTTTGTCATGTACAAAACTGTACACCTGAAACTAGTATTACACTGTATGTTAACTGGAATTAAAATAAAAACTGCAAAAAAATCATAAGCGTTAATACTTCTAACACATAGCTATTAGACAAATCATTAGTCCTTCATCTAATAGCTACATTTAATAGTTGTTCCATTTTTTCTTCTTAGAAATATGCGTTATTCAGATTTCTTTTTGGGGAATCTATTAGACACATAACTCGTTATGTTTCTCAGTGAAATGTCTGTTTACCTGCCCATATGAGAGAAAAGTAAATTTTTAAAAATGCAAACATACATTAAAATATTAAGAAAACAACTTTTCTTACCATTCTAAGTGCAAATGTGGGTTTACAGCTACATATATTAAAAATGCTCCAAAAATCAGCAAATAGGTGCCATAATAGATTGCATTCTCAATCAGTGCAGTTTTGATCTTCCCAGTGATGGAAAACCCTCCTGATCTTGCATAGGACTGCATAAAAGGTAACAGAATCCTAGACGGTTGGAAAAACATGATTACAGAAACAATTGACATGCCTATTTATTCTCGAAATACCAGAATGATGTGAATCTCAATTTTAATGTGTAGTTCTTTTCATAAATATGATTTTGAGTATTAATACTGAACAAACTATAACAGATAACTGAATATTTTTGTAATATCAGATTTTGGGGAGACCAAAGCACATTTCTGGGAGCAAAAGAGGCCACAATGACCAACAGCGAGTACAACGGTGTCATAAGTGACTTTAACGCCTTTATGAAGACTTTGGACTGCATTCAGACAACGAGGAATCTTTTTCTTTAACAGAAAGGAGATGTGATCAAATTTAAGTTTTCTAAAGACTGGTAAGTCTTCAGCAGGAAGAATGGACTGAAAGGAAACAAGACTGGGACTATGTGGGAGAGGGTAAGGGGTGGTGATATGGTAAGAAGCAGGAAGGCAGAAGTCTGGTTGTGAATACACTGATCGGACATACTTAGGACACATCCCAAAGAAGCTGCACTGGAAGTAGTTGGCTATCCAGCTTTAGAATTCGGGATAGAGGATTAGAAATACAGATCGAGGAGTCATCACCATATCAGTGGTTCTGAAATAACACCAGTAGATGAGATTTGGAAGGGTGAATATGTAGAATGAGAAGGACAGAACTAAGGCTGACCCTGGGAAAGATCATCTTTTAAAGGAGAGGTAGAGAACTAACAGGAGGAGCCAGTAAAGGAGACTGAGACAGATCAGTAGATATGGAAGAAAACCAAGGAGCACGCGGAGGAAAAAACAGAAGAAGAAAGCGTTTCAAAGTGGAGAGAGAAAACAATAATCAAATGCTGCCAAGAAGTCTAGTAAATTAGGAACCTGTCTGTGTGAGTGGAGAAGTGGAGCTAGAAAATAGAGTTCAATGGGGTGAGGAAAGAGTAAGCAATGAGGAAATGAAGACAGTAAAAGTAAATGTAGACAATTCATTTAAGAAATTTGGCTGGGTAGGATAAATTACAGTATATTCATATAATGGAAGATTTTACATAAATGACAAAGCAGAGAATACTGACACGTACAATAAGACGCAGATGAATTTTCCAAATATGTGAGCAAAAAAAGAGGTGCAGAAAAATACATACCATATTAATTCCATGTTTACAAAGTTCAAAAACAGGTAAAATTAATCTATAGTGATGGAAGTCAGAATCATGGCTACCTTTGGGGAGGGTAGGACTGGGAGAGGGACATGAGGGAAGCTTCTAGACTTAGCATGAACATTGTTAACATTCTATAATATCATCTGAGTGCTGGTTATATGGGTGTACTCACTTTGAAAAAAGTCAAACTGAACACAATTTGTGTACTTTTCTGTACTAATTTATACTTCAATAAAAAAGTCTCCCCCACCCCGAGGGGCACCTGGGTGGCTCAGTCAGTTAAGCATCCCACTTCAGCTCAGGTCATGATGTCTCAGTTCGTGAGTTCAAGCCTCAAGTCAGGCTTTCTGCTGTCAAGGCATAGCCTGCTTTGGATCCTCTGTCTCTCTCTCGGTCTCTCCCCCACTTGCTCTCTCTCTCTCTCTCTCTCTCAAAAAAAAAA